ATAGTATCTATCGTCCACGCGGCTGAAGTTGCGGAAGCTAATCATACGTAATTTATAGGACAAACTTATTTTTTAGATGGCTGACTCAAGTAAAAACCCTAGGCCAGATGCTTCTTCTACTCGTAAGAGAACGTCGTCTGAAACTTTTGTTGGTCATGAAAATCAAATAATAGAGTGGCTGGAAGAGGAAAGTGACCACGAGTTTAGTGATGTTGACGATCTAGATGACCTTCAAGAAGACTTTATTTTATGTGATGAAGATCCAGAGTCAGACATAGAAGCGTGACAAGATCCTGCCATTGTAGTTGAACGCCAACGATTTTCAGACGTGTTAGAAGACCACTTCGCAGGTAAAAACGTTCATTTGAAGTAAACAAGAGCGTCCTAGGATATTACGTATTGCAACTCATAATATATTTCGATTACCAGGCCGTACTACAACAACTAATTTTAAAGGTTACTTGGAACTTTGGTCTTAGCTGATTGACCCCACAATGTTAAAATCTCTTGAGCGAAAATGAGGAGAGCAACTTTTTTATTTAATTTGGCAAGAGATATAGTGCTGAATCATATGAAAACCATGGTATACAATGAAAGATTGCCAAGGGAGCTGCGCATGACAATCACTAGGGTTTTTGGTAAGGATATCCCCCCACCACCACCAGTAGTTTGGTCCGCTCCACCAAGTGGAAGAAAACTTTGTTCTATTTGTCCAACAAAAAAAAACTAAATATTGTTGCTGTGATTGTTCAAAGCCAATTTGCTTTCAGTGCTCCAAGCCACTGTTTGATAATTGTCAAATACAGCTTGATTTTGAAAATGTATAATTTTGAAGTCAACCAATGAATGTATCTGATTTTCTTTAGACTGATTAGTGTACTTGTTAATTTTTAAAATGTCTAATGTGAAATTTAAAAAAAGTTGATTTTGTAATTTTTTCTAAGTCATTAATATTTAAGTAGAGATTCATAGACTAATTTGTGTAAAGTCAATAAACACAGTTTATTTTTGATAATACAAATTGATTTATTTATTTTAAGTTCACTTAATATAAATATTAGGCTAATAATCTTATAGATATAAATAAAATCCCTGTATAATTTAATTCTATAAAAATATTTGCTTTTGAAATGGTGTCTCGTATACTACCACGTCAGTACAATTGTAAAAATTGAGCCACGTCAGTCGCAGAAGGTTAAGCTTAGTTTCCTTTCAACTCAAAAGGCTGCATCTCTGACAGATCTTTTATTTGGCTCAGTTTCCTTTCAATTCAGAAAACTGCATCTCTGACGAATCAATTTAGCTCAGTTTCTTTTCAAAAGTCTGCATCCCTGACGGATAATTATGCTCAATTTCCTTTAATTAAAAAAATATCCCATTTCCATTTGGAATAAACAGGCTATTTTCATGCTTTCCTATACGCTGCGTTTCAAAACATTCAAATAGGCTGATGAATCAATTTTGCTCAGTTTCCTTTTAATGGCTACATCTCTGACAAATCTATAAAACTCAGTTTTCTTTCAATTGAAAAAGCAATGGATAGTTCATTTCCCAGTGACCATGCTGGCGAAGCCGCGGGTAATAGCTAGTATTATGTAAATATGAAGTATAAGTGTACGAAATAAAAATAATAATTTTTATGTCAGTCAAAGCACTAATACGAAAAAGTAGGAGCATTAATATATTAGCTTTCCAAGTAATAAGTTTTGACAAAATATTTGAAAGTAGATAGAGATTTAGAATGACGGACATGAGAAGGGATAAAGAGTTCTAAAATAACAGAAAAATAACAGTACAGAATATTCAAAAAAGCGCAGGAGTATGGAGATAATGACTTAAGAGAAATTTTATGTTATAAGTGTGGCTGTAGTGCGAAGACAATTCACATTTCTCCTCAATTAAGAATCAAATGCAGATGCATGTCACCACAGACGATAAAGATGGAATGCTTCGTTTCCAGTAAAATGGGTCACCGGTTCTGAGCACTCAACGTATGAAACAGCCGCATTAAGCTGCTATTTTATGCTGGTATTATGTAAGATCGTGATTCAACTCTGGTCGAGCTACAACCATCATATACTCGTAGCTGTGAAGTGGCTCTATCATGTAAATGAAAAAAAAATCAAACAAATATTACTAAGTAAAAATAATTAATATTTTCACACCCTTCCCTAGTTTAAATTTACTAAAAAAAATGGGTGTATTTACCTGAAATATGAACAAATACGACCATCAACATTTATGAAGGTACTGCAAGCAGCTAAAGAGCTGCAAAAGTACAGATCGTCGATTTGAATCCCAAACTATACAATTCATTTATACTTTATTGAGATATTATTCTTTATTTCATGTATAAGAACAAATGGCTGACTTAATGCTCTAAGCATTCTCTGATGTGGGCTATTTCATATATAACTCTTTCGAGTCCCAAATCCGTAAAATTACTTTGCTATTGCTACATTAATAAAGCCATTGGAACTATGCAAAGAGATTAAAGTTTGAAACTAGTTAAACACAACAAACGAAACATCATAAACAACTCAAAGTCAGGCGTACCGAAAGGCTTTTGTTAATGCCTGCTTGTGAACTGCCAATAATGAATAATAGTTCAAGACTTATGGGTCAAAAAAGGTAAATTATAATGACGATATATCCAGAAATTAATGAGCTTGGAAAATTAATACGTTTGGCCTCTTTTATGTTTTGAAACTCTCCATCGGTACATATTTAGTAAAAGTAAAGTTACAGCCTATATACGTCCCACTGCTGGGCACAGGCCTCCGCTCATTTCTGAGAGGGTTTACAGCCCGTAATAACACAATCTTTATTTTATACAGGGCAGATCTGCTTAGTAGCTGAAATAGGTACACTTTTTATAAAAAGAATTAAGAAGGTCGCATTTCCCTGACGAATGTTAACGATAAATATACGCAACCATCGGAAATATTTCAATAAATGTAATAACATTTATAACTGCATTACGTTAATCCATTCACCTGTGAAATCCTTTACCGATATTACGGAACGTTCCTTTAGAGGCGTATGTGTATCTTTTTCACGCCTGAGCTCCCTAAAGCGGGAATTTCACTCAAAGGGAAATGCAAATTTCTCCTACAGACGTACTTCCTTGCAATACGCTGTACTTAAAATATTATTCTTAGCCTATGAACGTAGCAGAATAACTGTTTGTTTAATTTTCCCTAGTACACTATTACCCTATAACTTTATTACTGAACATTAATAAACGTAACTATGCAAAATGAGCTAACCAAAATTTGAGTAAAAATTAGCAAATTTATTTATTTATTAAAGAAATAAGTAAATAAATAAAACATTTATTTCAAAATAATAAGAGATTGGCAAACGCATTTGTTTATGATTTTGAAATGTTGTCAGGAATGTACTGCTACCCACCTTCAATTTAAGTTTCACTCTGATGCCCACTACTGCTACCCACCTCCACTCTGATGCCTGGCCGCCACGCGTCACTAGAATCAAATCAGGTGATTTCATGTGCTCAGAATGGACGTTGGGGCAATGGTCGCGTAACTAAAGTAACACTCCTCGTTGAGGCGGTTATCGACAAGGTAGTTGAGCGCAATCGTCGGAACATCACCGCCACCTTGTCATACTACAGAATAGCATTTGACTCGTTATCTCATATAATGATACAGATGGTCCTTTATACAAAGGGTTTCCGGATCTCTACACTCACCATACGAAACACAGCAGCATTAAGCTGCTATTTTGCGCTGGTATTCTGTGAGAACGTAGTTCTTCCCCGGTCGAACCGGCCCATTCATGCTACAACCATAATATAGCTGCAGCGTGGCTCTACCACGTAAATAAAAAGAAAGCAGCAGCGTTAAGAAGCTATTTACGCTTGTAGAATACCAGCATAAAATAGCAGCTTAACGCTGAGAGCATGGTCCTTCCCTGGTCGAGCCGACCGATACGTGAAGAAAAACTAAAAAGAAAGAAATATATATTGTATATGAAATGTATACATATTGTATGGCTGAGTGCATATTCTAACAATAAATAAACATAAGGATAGATGTAGATTTAGAGTTAAATTTGATAGGGAACAGAAACTAAAGTTTCTCACATTATATCAACGTAAGTTATGAGTAAGAAACAACATTATAAAACATAATGTTCAAATTTAACTGTTCTCTCGTGAACAGTGCGTATAGGTAGCTAAAATTCAAAAGGGCAATAAATTACAAGCAAATATCAGTTACAAATTAATAAATACGGTGTCAAATAGCGGAGTGTGCTAGGTTCCTTTTTATATCTAATATACATTAATGATCTTCTAAACTCACTGACCACGAAACTGTTCTGTTTGCGGTTATTACCACTGTAATTATTAAGTGTAAGGATAAAAAATTTAATATAATCCCCTACAAAATCTTCATGGCTTAAAAGTCAATTTATAGAACTTAAATTAAACAAAAATGACACAACTTCGGGATTTTAAAACTTCACATATCGGACCTAAAATTTGTTATGATAGAACAAAAATTGCAGAAGTCCACTCTAGAACATTTTAAGGATGAGTGGCGTAGTGCTTCCCTCCCCCACCTCTTTCCCGTAGCGCATCGGAGGGAATCCCTGACGACGCCCGCTTCGCGGGGCTCCTACGTGGTTTATGAAAGAATAACCACGAAGGAGAATCTCCTTTTAACCTAACCTGTCCAAGTCGGGTTGTCCTAAGTCCCGAACTCACTTAGTTCGATCTTCCACTCAATAATACACCAAAATAAAAAATTTATAAACAAATTTTTTTAAAACAATCGGCACACGCCACTGGTGGAGTACGACGCATGCGTTGGACAATCCAGATGAACAGCAACGCATTGCGGGCATATTTTAGGGCGAAAGGGGGAGAAACTGGATGTTTTGTGTATCGCGCAAAGGCGCATCGACTTTTTTCTGAGCTGGAGCCATCTGTAACCGTCACCGAGCAAAACCTGTCAGACTGAATTCGGTATATCTTGCACTCAAATACATTTGATGTCACCGAACTCGAATGGCTACGACGTAAGGCTGTTCCTTCATCGGATGAAAGTGCTGCGGCTGAGGAAGCGGCACCACAACTTGCTGAGCAAACGGCAAACGTGGATGCCGTCGTGAATACCCCAGTTGTTGTTGATTCAAACGATGATGGAACAGTCGCCCAGGAACTGGAACTAGAGCAAATGAGGAGTACATTAGAAGAGGCGATTGTGGAAACGCGTAGTACGCCTCTCGAAAATCGACCGCGCATCCCTTTCCCGCATAGCCCTAAGCAAGCGGAATCGGGCTGTCGTGAGGGCTCTGAACACAATGCTGTGACCTATTTGGAAGCCAGCCGGGGCCTTTGCGAGGCGGACTTAATTCTTTTTGGCGCCGCTCTGGAAGTCTGCCGTATTATAGGCGCCAAACTTTCCACGGCTGGACGCGCTACTGGACAAAGTAGTGCTATCCCAGCCTGGAGAATAATAATTGAAGAACGTATCGCAAAGGCTAGGGCCCTCATCGGTAGACTGATATGCTTCTCTTATTTCTATGAAGTTGTGGCGAGTCAGTGTGCGGGTATTACGCCCATGGACCCCGTCATCATGATGCCGGATGACGTAGCTGAGGCGGTCCGTATGGCCCCGAACTGGAAAAGTCTGGGGCTTGACGGGCTGCATCACTACTGGCTGAAGGGGTTCATGGTGGGTCGAGCTATGATCGCCCGACAGTTTCAAGAGGCTCTCAACCAGAAGTTGCTCCCAAGCCTCTTCCCTACTGGGATCACTCATTTGGTTCCTAAAGATCAGGGTGCCACAGACCCGAGCAAATACCGCCCCATAACATGTCTACAGGCCATATACAAGACACTAACATCCATTTTGAGCGCGAGAATCACTCGTCACCTTGACTCAAATCAGGTGATATCGCGCGCTCAAATGGATGTCGGGGCTGCGGTCGTGGAACCAAGGAACCACTCCTCATTGATGCGGTCATTGACAAAGTGGTGAAACGCAACCTCCTCTGCCGCCTGGATAGATTACAGAAACGCATTTGACTCGGTGCCACATACATGGCTAAAGAGTCAGTCAGAGTAAAGGGTCTTCGAGCTGTACAAGATTGACAGTACAGTTCAAGACTTCCTCGAGCAGTGTATGGGGCAGTGGAATACGATCCTCTGTCATCTAGGCGAGCGGATGACGGCTGCAAAAAACCGCATAAGGACAAGAAGGGGTATATTCCAGGGTGACTGTCTGAGTCCAATCTGGTTCTGCCTCTCTTTAAACCCTCCTAATACCAACTAGCTAAAAGCTTCGTTTGCCAACCCACCTGGCAAACGTGACAACTGCGGTAAACTTCCCCCCTATGAGGTCAACTACGAGGGAGACCAATGTTCAGCAGTGAAATTTTGAAAGGCTGTAACGGTAACTAGAAAAGATTTAATATTTTCGACATGGTTTGCAGAGCTTAAGTTATCCGCAGTAGATCAATAATAATCAACAAGCAACCAATGTTGCAGTAGGTTGAAGTGGCAAGGGGTCTTATTAAAACTTGAAGAACCGAAAACTGATGTAAAAGAAATGTTATCGAGAGCCAGCCTCGTACTTTTAAGCGAAGTGTGTATGCTGGAAGTCTATGAATACAGGTGGCTCCAAACTGTGCTTTCGGAGAGGCCTATATTCCGAAGAGGACTTGTGAAGGGCTGTATAGACTTGTAAATATTGCAGGTTTACAAAACTCCTATTAATCTGCTTTCTTTTACCGGTTTAAACCCAGGCGAATTGGTAATTTCCTTTGATACGCGAATAATATTAATTTAATAAAAACTATTGCATAGATTATTTGATTAAATTATTTGTGTCAAAAAAGAGACCATAAATTGTTAAAAATATTTATGGTCTAAGATATTCTGTTTTAGGAAAAAAAAAAGTTTAGCCATGAAATTCATACCAGTCTAAAGTTACAGTACCTTTAGAATGGTATAAGTTTTAATTTTTAATTGTTTATAGAGTGCCATCATGAAATAGCAACTAATGCTGTTTTATTTCGAATGGTGAGTGTAGAGAACTGGAGACTCATCTAACTGTAAACAAGGCATTCCATCTTAGTCTTCAGGGGTGATAACGTATTCTGCATTTTTGTTATTAATGTAGGACAGATGTAAAGGTCTACGTGCCACAGCATACAGTTATCATAAGTTGGACTGTGTGCTCGTTTGTCACCCTTATTCTGTAAAAAATGTGCAAAATATGTTTATAATGACAGGTATAACAAAATAAAATGAACACACGTACCTGATTTTTTGCTTGTTTGTTACCTTTACATGGGAAAATACTTTAAATGCATTTTATTACATCACACAATATTCACCATTATAACATGTTGATCATTGACTTATACGACGGTACTTTCCAATTACATTACGGGGGGTTGTAATTATATTATCAGTAATTGAGAAACTTTGACGTAATCCACTCAGAAATTCAAGACGAGGTGTGTGTTTTGCGAAGCGGTTTTGTGAAGTTGTCATTAACATTAATTAAACCAAACATAGCCAGCACCGCGATAATATTCCCAAGAGAAATGTTTAACCCAATCTCTTAAAGCGCTTAAAACTTTGTATTACGAATTTACTAGAACTTGAAATAATAATGTCAAAAATAAAATAGCCAAGACTCGTCTAAATAAATAGAATTATAAGACCTACTTCGTTTGAGGAGCACCTCCCGCCCTCCTTTAATTGCGTGCACTATCCCCGTCACCACTACACTAGGACACACCTTCGTACATAATACAACACGTATTTCGCCTCTAAACTAGGAATCCTCAGGTAAAATAGACTCTGCGGTGACAGACCATTAGACACATCATTTTATTTTATCTCGTGGATTTTTTCGTGTGTGACATTGTCGTAGATAACATTGGGATTTAAGGACGCTAATTAATTTTAACGTCTTTAATATAATGCATTTCCGCAAAGTAACGCCTGATTCTAACTTTATTAAAACTTGGATTCGAATTTGTTTAAGTATATTGTAGTTTTAGCATGAATGGGTCAACTCGACCTGGGCAGGACCATGCTTTCTCAGACTACCAGCGTAAAAAAGCAACGTAGTGCTACTGTGCGTGCTTCGTACGGTGGGTGTAGAGAACCGGAGACCCTTTTTACTGGAATTAAGGCTTTCCATATTAGTCCTCATGGGTCACAACGCATTTTCATTTTGATTCTTAATTGAGGATAAATGTTCATAAACCATCATTTGGACTGTGTGCTCGCTTGTCAGCCGATGCCATAAACAAAGGGTCGAGAAATCGTTAACCATTCGTTGTTTAAGAGCTATTTGGCAGTTTACGATAGCCCTACATTGATTTGGCGGCTAGTTTTTTTTTTTAAATAAGCACGCGAGTATGCAGCTCTTTTAATCGTAAGTGACTACCGCTGCCCACGAACAACTGCAACACCAAGGGAATTGCTGCCTGGCCAGGCTATTGCTATTGTAGTGGTTAGATCGAAGTAAATAAGGTATGGTTACCCGTCAAGCAGGACACCGTAATGGAGAATGTGTTTGTTCCTCAGGCCAAACGCTCCACCCCGCTAAATGATCTATACTCAACCTCACCCTTGGCCAAAGTGTTTGGGTGCCTCGCTAGTAGTTTTAAATTAATATTAGTCACTAACTTTGAACTCCTGCTTGGTTTGTACTACAAACAAGCTTTTCCATATGTTATGTACATATTATGGAAGAATTTATAATATTACATTTTGCTTTTGAGCTTACAAACGAGCTGATTATCGAACTGGTAGTAAGAAGCTACTGTAACTCATATCAACAGACAATCACACCGGGTAACAGTGAAGACCATCGCATTGTTATCTGAAGGCTATAATAAAAACATTACAACTAAACGTTCTTTACGTGGTAGAGCCATGCTGCAGTTATATTAGTAGTATAGTTGTAGCACGAATGGGTCGGCTCGACCGGGGTAGGACCACGCTCTCACAGAATACCAGCGTAAAATAGTAGTTTATTGCTGCTGTATTTCGTATGGTGAGTGCAGAGAACCGGAGACCCTTTTTTACTGGAAACGAGGCATTCCATCTTAGTCCTCACGGGTGACAACGCATCTGCATTTTGATTCGTAATCGAGGATAGATGTAGATGTCTATGGGCCACAGCAACCACTTACTATCAGGTGGACTGTGTGCTCGTTTGTCACCCTATCCTATAAAAAAAAAAAAAAAACGAAACCAAACAACTTAGTGTATAAGGGATAGTAAGAGGGTAGTACTAATCTAAGCAAGAAGAAGAAAAATTATTTTGTTATTGCAGAGCGATGGTTACCTCATTATTAAGCTCGGTTTTGAGCTTTAGATAGCCAAACTCAAAAAATTTACTGTGGAAAATGTAAAAACCAATTTCAAAGATATAAAAAATAATAATTTCACTTTATGAAGTCCTAGTATACAAGAAATTAAAGTTTCGACTTCTGAATGTGAAATTTTTGTTTATTAGTTACTTGAAAGCGGCTTTTACGTTTAAAAGTCAAAATCACAATATCGATATCGTCTTAATAGATTCATTAAAACCTTACACGCTTAAAGGTTCAAAATAGTGGATAAGGTTTTGAGCTATTTTGTGCTATGAGTTGTGGGAAATGGGTCTCCATATTAAAATGGGACCATCTCTTAGGTAAGTAAGGTACGTTTTTATTTCACAATTGATGAACATTTCGCGTAATATACATATGTGCTTAAAACATCATATTGTTTTTGTTTTGTAATTTATTAATTAATTTATTTAATTTTTTTAAAACACCTCAATTAAATGGATTACAAAGAGGAACATAACACATATAGGCATTTGTGACATAATATGGTCATATCATTCAAATGTGGTGACTTAGATTCTTGAATTCCCTTCGCCTTTTACTTCCAAGGGCCTGTAGGTCTAAATATTTACTATAAATTAGTTTAAATATTTCTATTCATTTTTGGGAAAAAAGTTTTTTGAAAGACGAACAGACGGACGGACAAGAAAGGGATCTTTTAAAGGTTTCATTCTTTCCAGTAATACCACAAATTTTCCGTTTTTTTTTTTATTTTGCACGAAACCGTGGCAAAGATGCTTTATTTACAATTGTGTCAATAATTGCTTATATTTACGCGAATACTACACATTAAATGTAACTTACTTAACTATATATAATATATAGATAAAATTCTTTAGAATACCTGCTGTAACATTAATTACGTACAACGGAAATTCTGGAAGAATCTCCCATGGCGAATCTATGCAAAATTCCTCAAAGTACAGTCGCATCACGTAGATTGTTGTGTTGTGGAATGTGGCTGAGTTTGTAATGAATTCGAACTTGTGGAAAGTGGGACGCATGCCGACTTGTGACGATAGAACTGACTTTTAATAGAATATCTTAGTGATACAAGAACTATGGTACATAATGATTTCTTATATTTACGCAAGCACTACATATTGAAACTAATTTTACGCATTTTATCGCGTTTCATTTTAAACTTTTCCTATGTTGCAAAACACCAGAAAATAAAAGGTTAAAATTAACAACGATAAATTTGTAAAATTAGTTTCACTTAAGAAATAGCTTTTTTAGGGGACCCTATTTTATAGTGTACAAGCAACTCAAGCGAATTCCCCAACTACAATTGTTAGTTTACCGATGCTCGGCGAGAAATTAAATATAAATTATCTTATTGATTCAGTTTACTCCTTAAGAATTCATTTTCACATAGCCCGCGGTACATAAAATAGATTTGAAGAAAATCGAGTGTTATCAAAATGTGTCGTTATGTGGTCCCTCAAGGAAACACATTCGCGTATCATTTTTATGTACGAAAAGTGACAAACGAGCACACAGTCTACCTGACGGTAAGTGGACGCTGTGGTACATAGACACCCCTGTTGTCACCCTTGAGGACAATGATGAAATGCCTCGTTTCAGTATAAACGTTCTGCGGCTCTTTACACTTATTTACTTTTCTACTATCATATACTGAATGCATTTCACATATTTGTTTAAGTTCAAATTCATTTATTTGCCAGAATGTAGGTGTAAAATAAAGTACGATCTTATTTCAAATGATCTTATATCACATTACGCGAGCAGCCCGGGTTCGATCCCCGCTGGCACCATATATTAGTATGGATAATATTATTATACCATAATATTAGTATGGATAGCCGACATCAGAGAATGCTTAGAGCATTAAGTCAGCTATTTGTTCTTATACATGAAATAAAGAATAATAACTCAATAAAGTATAAATTAATTGTTTCGTTTGGGATTCAAATCGACGATCTGTACTTTTGCAGCTCTTTAGCTGCTTGCAGTACCCTCATAAATGTTGATGGTCGTATTTGTTCATATTTCAGGTAAGTACACCCATTTTTTTTAGTAAATTTAAACTAGGGAAGGGTGTAAAAATATTATTTTTACTTATTAATATTTACGTTTGATTTTTTTCATTTACGTGATAGAGCCACGCCACAGCTATATGATGGTTGTAGCTCGACCAGAGTTGAATTACGATCTTACATAATACCAGGGTAAAATTGCAGCTTAATGCAGCTGTTTTGTACGTTGAATGCAGAGAACCGGTGACCCATTTAACTGGAAACGAAGCATTCCACCTTTATCTTCTGGGGTGACACGCATCTGCATTTGGTTCTTAATTGAGGAGAAATGTGGATTATCTCTGCACTATAGCACCTAGTTATCGTCAGGTGGACTCTGTGTTCGTTTGTCACACTTATTACATGAAATTTCTCTTCAGTCATTATCTCCTTACTCCTGCGTTCTTTTAAGATATCCTGCACTGTCACTGCTGTGTTATTTTAAAAATCTTTATCCCTTCTCATGTCTGTCATTCTAAACCTCTGACTACTTTAAAATATTTTCTCAAAACTTATTACTTTCAACGTTAATATATTAATTCCTCCGCTTTTTCGTATTTATACTTTGACTGCCATCGTACTTATTATTTTTTCTTCGTACATTTATGTGAACAGACATATATGTGAAGGTAGAAAATGAACGTCTCCATCTTTAAGTCAAAAAAGCTGCGCGTTGAGAATTATATACATTTACAAGATGCAGTTTCTAGCGACGCAAATTTAAACCCCTGAGATTTAGGTAAAATGGTAATTCTGCAATCATCATTCGTTAACAGTCCCCGCTACCTACATGAGTATACACAAGACGCATTCGCCTATGTACGAACTTACGGAAGACCTGATCTTTTTTGTTACTTTTAATTGCAATCCCACATGGAAAGAAATAACCGAGGAGCTAATGCCGGGCCAAAAAAGTACTAACATACACGATTTAGTTGCTAGAGTATTAAGATTAAAAGTACAAAAATTAATGTATGTAATTAAGAAAGAGAAAATTTTCGGAGAGGTGAATGCTTCATGTATTCAATTGAATGGCAAAAAAAGAGGATTACCGCATGCCCACATTCTAATATGGCTTAAAGAGAAATTGCGGCCCAGCTAAATAGACGACATAATAAGCGCCGAGATTCCAGATCCTGAGCAAGATAAAGAATTGTATGATACCATCGTCTGAAATATGATTCACGGTCCATGTGGAGCATGAAATTCAATATCGCCATGTATGAAAGAAGGAAAATGTACAAAGAAATTCCCTAAACAGCTGTTAAAAGAAACAGTGTACAATGACAATGGCTACCCTTTATACAGACGCAGAGCTCCCGAAGATGGTGGTAGGAAAGTTAAATCAAATCTCTCTGGAGCATTCGAAACCTTAGATAACAGCTTCATTGTCCCGTATTTGCCCATTCTATGTAAAATGTTTAATGCCCACATTAATGTAGAAGCATGTAGCTCTGTCCGCGCAATCAAGTAAATCTGTAAGTACATAAATAAAGGAAGCGACCAAGCAATGTGAAATGTGAAAGTGAAGCAAATCCCGTTAATGAAGTACAGACCTTTCAAGCAGGGCGTTATGTCAGCAGTAACGAGGCAGCGTGGCGTCTCCTTGGCTTCCCTTTACACAAAAGGCACCCAACAGTTACTCACCTTGCTGTGCACTTAGAAAATGGAGAGCGTGTATATTTCACCGAAAGAAATTTCCAAAAAAGAATTGCATCACCGCCAAAAACTACACTAACAGCCTTTTTTCAACTTTGTCAAACCGACCCCTTTTTAAAAACGTTGTTATGTTCTGAAGTCCCCCGCTATTTTATTTGGAACACATCTAGGAAGGAGTGGAAACGCCGTATTCATGGCGCGCCTGTTGCAAATTGGCCCGGTGTAAAGTCATCAGATGCTTTTGGTCGTATGTATACCGTCCATATAACTAATTTTGAATGTTTCTATTTACGATTGTTGCTGCACCATGTTCAGGATCCTACAGGATATAAAGACCTTAAAACTGTCATCAGTCAGGAATGCGCAACTTATAGAGAAGCATGTGAAGCTCTGCATCTTTTAGAAAACGATAATCACTGGGATAAAACTATGGAGGAAGCTGCGCAGTACCAGTCACCAGCTAAAATTAGGGATAATATAATATATAATATAATAATATAATATTTCACAACTATCACACAACGCCATCTAGTCCCAAGCTAAGCAGAGCTTGTGTTATGGGTACTAGTCAACTGATAAACATACCTATATATTTCTAAATACATAAATATTATAGATAAATTACTTTGTCTCTAACCACTAGACCAACAGGCCTGTCAAATCTTTATGCAACTCTTATATCATCTTGTGGGCTATCTAATGCACATGAATTGTGGGGCAAATATAAAGAGTACATGGCGGAAGATATCTTGCGAAGGTTACAGCAGACACACGCGAACATGACATACAATGAACACATTTATAATGAAGCACTTGGAAAAATTGAAGATAAAGTAATGGCGATGGTAGGCAAATATTAAGCGACTTTGGAATGATAAGCCCTCAGCGAACAACCGAAAATGAACTAAGTGATGAAATTATACGTGAAACAAACTACGATATATCAGCTTTGCAGCAGCAAGTAGCCGAATTTGTACCCCGCTTGCTTCCCGAACAAAAACGAGTTTTTGACAAAGTATTAGGACAAATTGAATCTGGAAACGGTGTACTTTTCTTTTTAGATGCCCCTGGAGGAACTGTAAAGACATTTTTGTTAAATTTATTATTAGCGCAAGTACGGAAAGATAAAAATATTGCTGTGGCCGTAGCTTCCTCCGGTATAGCCGCCACGATGCTAAGCGGGGGCCGCATTGCACATTCTGGTTTAAAACTCCCTCTAAATCTAGCCCAGGAAGAATCGCCGAACTGCAACTTTAGCAAAAATAGTGAACGAGGTATAATGCTAC